TGCTTGCAATTCCCATGCTTTTATCCGAGAAGCAATTTTTCACATGGATGCACTAACATGCATGTTCTCTGAGGCAAACAATATGAGAACTGAGGTGAAGGAGTCCCCACATAAGAACTGCACGAGCCTCAGAGCCTGTACACTAAAATGAGTCCCTGGCTTTTTACTTTTAAGGTGCTTGTTTTCTGTCTCCTTTGGTAATTCATACAAGATGAAAAACTTAAGGAGCTTGTACTTTCTAGTACAATCTGCCTCCAAAAACTGGAGAAATGGAGATCCTAGCTGGTGTTTGTTCTTGGAGAAGCTAACATGTCAAACCAGCATCCCTGGAATGCTTTGAGGTAGGTATTGTTGGCACCAAACAAGCGAGTTGGGGGCAGGGGCTACAAAATATTTCCTCAAGACCTACTTTTTCCCTAAAAAGCTTAGCTGATATGTCATTTCAGGCAATCAGGAATCGTGTGGTCAATGAGACATTGTCATATCCCCGTTATCTCTTTAAGTCAAGTCATAATGAATACAACACTCTCGTGGTATAAATGGGCAGCAGGCATAGCAAGGTCAAGGCTTTTGGGAAAACATATAACTGGTATTCATGCTGCAAATGACTGGTCTTGCCTCCAATTTATAAGTGGTTGCTTATGCCTATATAGCTGCCGCTCTCTAGGACATTGAGATCCTCTTTTGCCACCACTCCTGCCAGCAGACCACTGCCTGAGCCAGTTGCTTCTGTGAGCTGAATGGCAGGGCTGGCCTGCATAGCTTGGAGCAGTAGCTATTATTGGGCGTAGAGCATGTCTCCTTTTCAGCTTGCTCCTGCAGTCTGGACACAAAGCTTTTTGAGGGTTTTTGTTTTGTTTTGTTTTTGCAGAGAAACCCTTGTATACAATATTTTACAGCGTGGGTGGCTGTGGCAAGCCAGATATAATTACCATAATTGACTTCTGCGCTGAGATACATAGTAGGCACCTTTAAGACAATTCCATTTGTCGTGGTGAAGGACAAGGTCTGCGTATCCGTGAAGGTGAATTTCCTTTGCCAAGTGCTTTTGAAGTACATGGTGCTCACCACAGCTAGCTGGTTAAGTGGGGAACCAATGGTTTCCAAGGGCAGGCAATTAGTACCACCATCTACAATGGAAAGAAAGCAAAATAATGGTTGCTGAAACAAATCTGAATTTAATGTATCCTCTTTCTGTAAATTCTTAGACTTGGTTATGTTTCCATGTTTGTTTTTAATTTTAAAGTTTAAAATCTCACATAAACCCTTTTAAAATGTTATTCTCTGTTGAATTTTGTTAGTTTCAGTGGCAGACTAGTGTTAAAATTGAAATCTTCCAACGGGAGCATCTCACAGAGGACATTCCCCACAAATCCACTTACTTTCTCTTTGAAAACATTATCTTTTTGAGAATAACTCTCAAAAAAATCTTGAAGAAAACATTTGAAAATGACATTTTCTTCTGGATTTTGTTGTTGTTGATGTGCTCGTTCAGTGGTGGTTTTATGCAAAAACTATCCTCTACCATTTGGCTTTAGGTCACTTCTCATTCCAATAACCATTCAGGTAACTATATCTTGTTTCAGAGTGAGTGGGTCTGACTACAGTCTCAAAATACCTGGCATTGAACTAGTATCTTTCAAAACCATATAGTGGACAGCTGAATATCACTTTACCTCCAGTATTCATGGCAATCCATTCATTGATCTGTGCTGCAGTTCTTCTGGGCTCACTGAAGTTAGTTTCCTGCACTGTGTTGTTTGCCCAGAATACAACATGTTGAACAAAGTGGGGGGAAAGATGGATTCCAGCTTGAACGAAAATGGCACACGCCAACTGTGCTATGGGCCCTTGACTTGAGTTGGTCCCTTCTTTGTATATAGTTTCCAAGAAGTCCTGCACATCTTGATCTATGAACAAACCAGGTCCTTGGTTTACCAGACAACAAGATAACACAATATGATAATAAATAAGGCTCCCCAACAATGTTGACTGCAAAGCCTATGATCTTTAGAACGATTTTTCAGAAAACGAATAATTGTTATGGCTAGTGCGATCAGATTTGCTCTCCTCCTCATCTCCTTCTAGCTCTCTGTGCTACCTCAAAACCTGATCTGTTGCTTTGGATCTGGATGTGCCCCAGCCATCTAGAAAAGGTTTTCAGGACACATTATGTACTCTGGGTGGGGTGTGGATTCATCCCTTCTCGGTTCCACTGACACAAGCAGTTGTGTTAGGGTACAACTGGGCTGAATCCTGTCCTAAAAGCCTCCACTTCTCTTTCAACTCAGCTATTTACTACTGTTTTCTGACCCATGTCAGTTTCCCTACAAACAAACTGTTTTTAGAAGAATAAAGAGCACCTACTAAAATTGTGTACGAATCACACAAAACTACTAGTAAAGGAGTTGGCAGCTTAAGCGACACCACACAAAGCCTAGCTGTTCAATTAAATCAAGGAACACTCACACCCCTGGTTCCTACATATTGCATTTTTAATCATTGGCACAGGAACTCTTATGTAGTAAAAGAGAATATACCTTTTCAGCATTCCACCATAAGCATTCTCTTTTCATGGACAGGTGGGATATAAATGTAATAAATAGATAAAATAAAGAAATTAATTGTAGCCAACATTGAAAAATACTTTCAATGAGGTTCTTTTGAACACTAAACTAGAAATGGGCAAGAACTGCTATTCCACATTTTGGTGTAGTTAGGCAGTTCAGCCACACAGCTTCTCCTATGGGCGCCCCAGCTTCACAGCCCTGCCTCCTCCGGTAGGAGCCCACTCAAAGGTGGCAGCATGATGAGACTTCCTAGCCCTGCCTCCTCCAGTGGGCGCCCACTCACCGGCAGCAGAGTGGTGTGGCTTCTCATCCCCACCTTCTCTGGGAGGACTTCTGGCACTGATTTTGAAAAGAGGGCAGGATGCTGAGCAAGCAGAAAAAATGGCAGTGAAACAGACATTGCTCTCAATTATTCAGACAGCTTTTGAACCCAGTGCAGAAAGAGAAGACTACAATAGGCTACAGCTGTCAAGCCATTGAGATGGTTTAAAAGGCTGCACAGCAGTATGGAAAAAGGGGCAGTTTTCCGAAGTTCTCCATAAAAAAGCCCACATGCCATGGAAATATTGTACATTTTATGATATATGGAGTTTGTCATGGTTGTTACAATTTTTATTCCCTCCCTCCCCCCCAGGTCTGTGCAGAGGTGATCTAGCGCTAAACAAAGGTAACAATACAGTTGGGGGGGGGGAAACACCACTAACTTCAGAGCAATTGTATGAGGGGGCATTGCTGCTGTTCCCAGCAGCACAGGAGAAAAAAATCCAGATGAGAAGAGGGGAAAGACGGGCTGATTCTCATTGAGCGTCATGTCATATGACAATTGAACAATACTTCAAATTCACTCATGCCAATTCTGGAACAAATTGGGAATTATTTTCCAGTGTAATTGGAAAGGACTGAAAACATATTGTTAAGAAAGAGAAAGGTACTCTGTATGGCTTGTCAAAGAGAGAGAAACCCTCTAAAGCTGGAATTTCAATTTTATGGTCTCTGATTCCTGGTGAGAATCAGCTTCTCAGATGGTCCCTTACCATGAACGGTGTATCCAAGAGCACGTTTCAGTTGTACAAAAGTGTTTCCTTGTGCTCCAAACTGCAGAAGTCCCAAAGACAGAGAAACACTTGCTGGGGAAACGATGAGGTTAGTTTGGTTGTCAAGCTCTGCCAAGCGTTGGTAAAGGGTAAAGGCAAACTCAGCATTTAGGTTCTTTGGGTCATTATAGTGATCACAGCCTCCCAAGTTCCAGGAACAAAGTGACAGAAGGAGGATCCTGATGGAAAGGGACAGCATGAAGACAGAGGGCTTCCAGAGATAAACTGGAAGAGATGGTCAAACCTGCAACCGTCAACAAAAGGGAAACTTAATTCTTGGTGCAAATGAAAACTGAGCCACGTTCTCATTTGACATTATTACTGTCAAAACATTCTCCATCCCCTGCTATGCAAGTCCACAACTACAGGCAGGATACACAGGTCAAAGTTATATTTGACATTGTATTTAAAACAAAAGATGGGAGAAGACATTAAAATAAAACAATAAGATTCACAGCCACAAAAAACAAGCAAGGAGAACCAGGAATAAAGATCAGTCAGCCATGGAAACCCCAAGAGAACAAAATGATCTTCACTTGCTGCTTAAGGAGGCAACGAACATGTATCGCTGGAGGGAATAATCCACAACTAGGGAGCCACCACTTAAAAGACCCCCTCTGGTCACTCGGCCTCACCTCTGTGGCTGATAGCAGAGGTGGTGGCTACTTTTAAAAAAACACTATATATTTATATCTATATCTATAGCTACAGCTACAGCTACAGCTACATCTGTTTGCCCAGAATGCAACATGTTGAACGAAGTGGGGGGGACAACCAAGGACCACATGGCACCTTAAAGATAAACTAGTTTTATTCAGCAAGAGTTTTAAGGGACTGGTTAAAGAATCAGATGCAAATCTACAAATGCAGGTGGGCTATCACTTCTGTCCAAACAGCCTAATACCAGCCAAAACTTGTAAGTCTTTAAGGTGTCAAAATTCTCTCTCTCTCTCTCTCTCTCCCCATAAGAGATTCACATGGCTACCCCCACAAATCTGTGATTTGTCCTTTGGCTTGTACAGTACATGATAGAAGTACACAAGTACTGAATATATCAGCAAAGCTTCAGAAAACAATGGTAATTCTCTCTCAGGTCTATAGGCTAGGCACTTTAACCTCTGGTAAGGAGCAAAGCATACTCACCAACACTCTTAAAAATCCCCTTAGTGGTTCACTTTGAACAAGGTAAAGTTACACATGCAGAAATGCATCTGAGTTTTGTTTCAGGATTTAAGGAAAGTATCTGCTTTTCCCTATAGGGCAAAATAGGCTCCTCAGGTTTACTCACTGGGTAAGCCGTGTGTGCTTCTGTTGCGGTGTCTTGCTGCTGTGCTCCCTTTAGACCTGCATCTGTTTTAGGTCTACCCCCTTCTGTAATATATAATGAACTGGGGTCTTAGTCATAAGACCCCAGTGAAAGGGATCGCCCGTGATTGTGGTCTTTGCCGGCGATGTCTGTACCATTCGGTCCAAGAGCCTGTAGGCTCTATAGGGAGCCAGGCAAAGCGGCATGCTGCGACCAAGCAAATCCCAGGCAGGGAACAAAAAAGGGACTAGTGGTGAAAGAGCCAGCAAGTACAGTTCGAGCTTTGGCAGGCAGGTGACCTGCTTCTCCTCAGAAAAGTGTCACCCACTGGCATCACTTCCCTCCCTCGCTCCCTCCCTCCCTTTGCCTCTTTTGCTCTTTGAGAACATTCCGTAGGTTTCTTATGGGTGGGTTGGGTGGAAGGAAGGAAGGAAGGAATTGTACCTGACGTGAGGTGTGCCAGGCACAAAACTGATCCGAAAGGGGAAGATGAGGAGAGTGGAAAAGGCACAGCAGATCTCAGCTTAGCCATTTCCATGACTCCTAATCCCTGTTTCAATTTTGCTACAGTAGTCTTGATTCACCTAAATACTGATCCTCCTTTCTGTTGTTCACCTCAGGGATGGTATTGTTTCCTTTTTCTTTACGTCTTTATCCTTTCCCTTTTTTTGAGGGGAGGTTAAAAGGAATTCATAGGGATTAACATTAGACCAGGACTAGGCATTGTAAAACATGGACACTGCAAATAGTTAAGGCATCTGCCCCCTTCTTGCATGCAGACCACTGACATTTCCAGTTGTGTTCATTCTGCCACTAATGCCTAGAAAGAACTGAAAGAGTATCAGATCTGCATTCTGCTAGGCAAGCTGCATTCACTCATCCCGTCTTTGGGCTCTTTCAGATTTATGGTTTTACCGTCTATAAGGAAGAAGGTCGAAAACATTTTGCTGTCCAAGGAAAAGGATATGGAATGGTATACTCTTCCACATACAGAATCCTGTCAGACTATTGGTTACTCGTACTAATCTAGTACGTAGGCTCTTTTGTCAACGTTGGAGTAAGGACAGTGTCCTCTATCCTGTAAGACTACGAGGATCAAAAGCATCACCCAATCACTCCAATTTATCAGTGATAGACAGCTCCAGCAAGTCATTGGATTCATTTCCCTTAAAAATTACATTCTCAGAACCTGGAATGCCGTTTATTAAAAGTCATCCATTCCTGTTATTACAGTGTTTTGGAGAGAGAAAAAAGTAATTTATTGTTACTTATTGCGATGCAAAATAAAATCCCCTTAAAACTATTACAAAAAGTAGCTAAAAACATTGCTCATTATACTCACAACCAAGATAGCATCATTTCCCCAACTACTGCCCTATTTTCTGAAATGGGATTCCCCTTACCCAAGAGGAGAATGGGAGGCATGTGCCAAATTAAACAACACAGAGAACACATCATTCTTTAAGTGCTGAAAGGGTCTCACTGTCACAACAAGCAACATTCATACCTCTCATAGTCTGCAAATTAGCTAGCTTTGTTTTGTTATAGGTTTTCTCAAAGTAATCACAGGCTTCATTTGCAAGACTAAATGTTCAAACACATAGATTTGCCAGGATCCCATTTCTGGAACACATACGAGGTATTGGGTACAATTAGCTGCTGCCTGCAAGGTATGCTTATAGCCCATTACTCCTAAGCCAACGTTTCCCAGTTCTGCAAAATACTGCATGTAAGCAAAACGGTGAGGTCTGGAGAATCCACACCATTGTCCACCTAAGAAATCACCTCTGATAACACAAATAATTAGCCACAACAGAGCTACACGAGTGGGAAGAAAGAGAGGCTGCAGGGTGCCAAAGATGGAAAACAGGTACATCATAGGAAAGCTTTATTCCAAACAAGCTCTTTATTCTCTGAGGGACTGATCTGCTCCTAGGGCTTACGCCCCTTCTGAAGTGGTAATCCTTCAACAGCAACATCACAGCATTAGACATGGTGGCTGATGTGATGTCACGCAAGGAAGCGGAAGACCCTACATGAGAAATAAGCTATAAAATCCTATGGAACTTCAAAAGAACCTATATGTCTAATTGCATAATGTTGCAGCAAGTACATGAACATGTCAGAGAGAAAAAGTACAAAAAAGATCACCGTCAAAATTGCTGCTGAAGAAATCTTAGAAGCACGTTCTTGCACAAGGTTCAGTAGTGGCTTCAACAAATAATCCTAGTGTCATATAAGATTCCAGCATTTAGGACATTTTCCAAATCCATTGCGAAATCCCTTGATTTTCTTCTCATTCTTAAATTTAAACAGAATTATTTCATAGGTCAACTATATCCCATAAAGGTACACCTACACACCCACCTAGATCTACGCACATGTTCAGCTTACTATAGCAAAGCCAAAATATGCAACAAAGGAAAAAACAACACATCAAAGAGTTACTTGTGACCAGGGATCCATGAAGTATAAATTGGTACAGTCAGAAAATTGTTTTAAAAAAATAAAGAAGAAATTGCCATGTTTCTTTTTCTCTCACAGTTGTTATTAAATTATGCTTACCTGTGTTTACAGACTTAAAATCAATGGTAAAAAACGTAACCCAGGGAAATTCCATTTTCTGAGGAGGTCAGAGATTTCTATAAATGGTTAATCCTAAAAATAGATCATTTCTCAATGATTGCAGCTGTTGAAGTTCTGTCATCTTGAGAAAATACATTAAATGCAACAAAACCCATTAAATACAATGAACCTCCAAAGGACACAGTGTAAAGGATGCATCTAAAGAGAAGAACAGAATATCTTGTTTGTTTGTTTCAATAAAGACAGGAGAATGAGTGGCTCTCTAGGGTGTTCTCAAATTCTGATCCATTTCATTCATAGCCAGTTTGATCAAATGCAAGGCATGATAGGAGCAGAATTCCCAAGCATCCGGAAAGACCTGTCTTCCTCACTCTTCATTTGGACGTACTTCTATCTCCTCACCCTCCCTTGAAATAGCTCTGATAGATGGACAGATAACAAGGAAAGCAGAACAGTTGTTGTTGTTGTTTAGTCATGTCCGTCTCTTCGTGACCCCATGGACCAGAGCACGCCAGGCCCTCCTGTCTTCCACTGCCTCCAGGAGTCGGGTCAAATACATGTTGGTAGCTTCCATGACACTGTCCATCCATCTCGTCCTCTGTCGTCCCCTTCTCCTCTTGCCTTCACACTTAAAGTCTCCTGCCATAGCAGCAGGGTCGTGATTCAATACCACATGCATATCTGTACACACCATTTTGATGGGCTGTGAGTGAATGTGGAAGTCTGAGCACAGATCTCCTGCATTTCATCTACTAGTGGAGAAAGGCAGTGACCCAGAAAATTGACTCATAAGAATATTTATTTCATATAAACACATATTATATTTATTTATTATTTATCATGGAATAATAGAAACCATATTTATTATATTTATGAAAAGCTTCAGTTCTGAAAGCTCTTTATCAACAGAGGTTATGCTTAAAACTTAACACAGATATTGAATCCAAATGTAAGGTTATTGTTATTGTTGCAGGTATGCACTAATAATGCATAGGTAAAGGTAAAGGTTCCCCTTGACATTTAGTCCAGTCGTGTCCAACTCTAGGGGGCAGTGCTCATCCCCATTTCCAAGCCGTAGAGCCAGCGTTTGTCCATAGACAGTTTCTGTGGTCACATGGCCAGTGCAACTAGACACGAAACACCGTTACCTTCCCACCATGGTGGTACCTATTTATCTACTCGCATTTGCATGCTTTTGAACTGCTAGGTTGACAGGAGCTGGGACAAACGACAGGAGCTCACTCCGTCTCATGGATCTGATCTTACAACTGCTGGTCTTCTGACCTTGCAGCACAGAGGCTTCTTCGGTTTAACCACCACGTCCCTAATAATGCATCGTCGTCTAG